TAAGTGATAAGACCAACTGGCGCCAATGTCTTCCGCCTGCCGAATACTTCCTAATTCCCGGCCATAGGCGACAATGATAACAGCAATTTGTGTGTGTGTGTGTGTTGTTTTGTGCTACATGTGCTATTTGTGCCATTTTGGCCTGTCTGTGTATACAAAAGCAATTTTCGGTGGCTGACACATTGGCCATAAAAGGGATCAGGACTCGGGCGACCCGCCTGCTCGCATATGGCGGTAAATTGTTTTCCCTTATTTCTCAATATTTTCCAAGAGTTTTCCTTTATGTCTGCAATTGCAGGGCCAAACGCCTTTTGTTATAGTTTGAGCATGGTGTTGATGTTTGCACAATGATAGGGGCGTGTCGAGGCATTGGAATTGGGTGCTAAAATTTCGATGCTGGCCGGCGGGCATGGGTTAAGGGCCTGGGTTTGGGTTCCGATTCCCGATTCGAATTGATATTGGAGTTGGGGTTGGGGTTGGGGTTGGGGTTGGAGGACCGCTTCCTGCGGGGCTGATAAGGCGTGAATCAGAGGGGCTTGTTGAATCAGGCGAACCCTTTGTGTTTCCCATATGCTCTATATCAACTCGAAGGCCATTTCGCCAGCGAGGAAACAAACAAGCAACAATAACAACGAATTTGTTTTGTTGCGCTTCGTTTCGCCCTCCAAATAAAGAAAGAAAAAAACAAATACCCAAACCCATCCATATATGTTAATCATCCATTCAAACAGTTTTCAGCTCATATAACATCACGAAAGAATGCGTTCTCAGGGAGTGGGTTATACATATATATATGTTTGTGCTTATGCTTGGTGGGCCTGGGAATCGAATGCACTTTAAAGACCCATTCGAAACAGTGGCACCCCTTGATCCAAACGTCTGGGGTCTCTCACATCCCCATGTCCATCCCCATCCCCCCAGCATGTCGCCTTCAAAGTTATATATATTTCACACTGTCTGACGATGGCAAGCCCAAAAATGAAATCAATTTACACACCCCAACTGTGTCCGCCTTTTGTGTAAAGAGATCTTAGCGCCTAAGTGCATCAATTGACGCGCTTTTCAGATGGAAAGTTCCCCCAATTGCATTAAACAAATTGAAAATGCTTTGAGAGCCAGAGAGATGGTGGTGGAGAAAGTGTTTCCCATTTAACGTGGAAATTCTATTAAAACCCAACTTGTTTCCCTCGTTGCCCGTGACACTTTGTAATTGAAATCTGCGGTCACCAGACCCAAATATAAATATAGAAATATTAATAAGCCAAATAAAATATCGCCTAGTCGATGGATTGATCCCAGCGAAAGCAATTTATCAAATAGCGCATGTAGAGGGGGAAATGGTGAATTGAAAAGAAATTAAATATATGTAAGTATATACAAATAATGGGAGGTCTGAGTCAGAACAAGATAGAGCCCAAACAGGATGGAACTCGGAAGTCGCGGAGGCTGCAGTGTGTATAGGCCTGGAATGATAATGATTGATGGCCCTGCTGGCGAAAGGAATTTTGTTGTTGCTCTGGAGGCTGATAAAAAAGAGAAATACTTGACTTTTTATATTTATATACATACATTTCAAAGGAGATGAAAGCAGAAATGGGAATTTTTTCAAAGCCCAGATAAGTTTGTTTCTTAGCTGTCTTTATCAAGTTCTGAATAAGTAAAGCAGAAACTTGAAATAAATATGAAATATTAATGAGTATGAAGATCTCGCATGTGGGAGATGATAAATGTGGTCGGCTTAAGGAGTGGTTCCCAAAGATTTGCGCCTCATTTGAGGGGTTTCGTTTTCGTTTCAAAAGGTTCAAGGTTAACTGTCACTAAATGACTCGGCAAAAGAGATATATGTGCTTATAGTATACCCCTCCTGATGGTTGTTATGACAAATTGATTACATGTAATTTTGTGTCCCTGTGTCGGTTCCTTTGATTAGGTGCCAGCTGAAGAGACTCCGCAACTTGCTTCCGAAAATTTGTCTTATTTCTGTTGATTTATATCTTGGCCAGCATAGTTTGTCCCCATTCCTTTTCTTTTTTTTTCTGTTCGTGCGTCTGTCTGTAGCTTTTATTTGATTTCGGCTAAGATGATTTCGCCTTAATGCATTGAATCGGGCCAAACAGGAAACCTTTGAAGCAGCTTCCCTGCTGCCCGAACAATTTTTTTTCTCTATTTTTTCGGGCCAATTGAGGGAAGTGGAAGTTGCTGCGGAAGAAATGGCCAATATATATACAGTTATAAATTAAATTTTTCATTCTACTTACATTCAACTCCCTCCATTTTGGTATGTTTTTATTTACGGTAAATTTCATTTCGATTTCTTTTCCGATTTCTTACGTTCTCTCCTCTTATTTCCTTATTTTTTGGCTGAATCGGCTGTCTGCACTCCTTGAGACGGCCAACGACTTCGATACCAACTGAATGGCCAATCAATAACATTGGGCAAGACATGCAGCCCCCAAAATACAGAAAGAAAAACCCGCTCCACTCCTCGAAAATCTCCTGTTTACCCCCGACTATCGTACACTCTAAACACCAATTGATGTTTATATGATAATGATTAATGACTACGTTACTTTTACACAGATTGCTTTCCGAATGGCTTCAGTGCGAGTGTGTGTGTGTTTGTGAGTTGGAAAGCCTATTTATTTATAGGCCCAATACAAAAGGCCATTTTCTTTCGCCTGGCGCCTAGATCTTCCTCGTATCCCCGCCCCTTTTCCAACTTTTGACAGACTTTTAGTTGCGTTTAGCTTAAGATTTTTCTTCGCATTTTATTTGGCCCATGTTGAGCAGCGCGTCTCATTACCAGACATTCATCAATTGCTGGCAATTTGTTTGCAAGTAGCCGAGGCTCCTTGTCTCTGTCAGTTTCCCGTAATTCATCTGGGTTATCCTTGGGCATTTGTATCTAAAGGATGTGAAGGGTTCGGGGATGGCAGTAAAATAAAGAGTACATTAAAGCTAACAAAAAATGGTATAGGACTTAGTTCTAATAAGAACTGAGTAGTGGTTTTCCTCAATAATACATATTCTCCTTAATATTTCTGGTACTTTAACCTTAACTTTTATTTCCCTTGAGAGTATCTCTTGGTCGAATTCGTCAAGTGTAACCATTTTTCCCTGGCCTTTTTTATATTCTGCCCGCTCGTCTGGCCAACTTGTAACTGTTACTAATGATGACAACTTATTTTGGCCTAAATGCTCGGCCAACACTTTTATTGGTTTTTGTAATTAATGATGCTGGCCAAAAAGTGCGGAAATGACTTTGTGGTTTGACCCGAGGTGTTTGAACACACCTCCACCCGTTTCCTCCCCCCCCAAAAAAAAAGGTAATAGGTAGAACCGAGTGGACTGGAGTTAAGTTTCCATTAATCAAATGCACTGATTAGAGAGTTGCAATCCGGCCAGGGGAAAAAGCATAGGACCAAAGGGCAAAAGTCCTGGCCTCGACTTTCATGGGCTGTCGTCCGATTGTCACAGTTGTCAGTTGGCCGGCACAAATTACACTCGTGGCAATTAAATTAGGCAAGCAATTAGGCCGGCGGGCGAATGTTGGAAAAAGGGTTGCACATCGCGAATATCGATGAGCTCAAATTAATCAAAGGCGGAAAGTAATCATTGAGTCGACATGGCCAAATGGAATTCGCCCCCTTAAAATGTCAGACGAACTGGGGGCGTGGCAGCGTTAATTGTTCTTCGTCTCCCACTTTCTCTGTTATCCTCAACTTTCTTTGTTCTTAATTTCTTTTTTCGGCTGTTGCGCCTTTTTACAATTTCATTTGTAATTTATCATTGTTTGCCTTCGCTTTGGGTTCCTTTTCTACTCTCAAGGTTCAAAAAAAAGGGTTCACCCCGTCAGATTCACTTTACTTTAGCATTTAAATATTTTATTGAGTGCCTCAGATTGTTAATTGTTTTTTGATGGGCCAAGGGTAAAAAGGGTCTCCCTCGAGCCAAATCGATTCTAATTAGGGATTGTGTGTGGCAATATCCATATCAGGCGGATACGGCTTCGGATATTTCCCTCAATTTTTCCTCAGAGACAGTTAACCAAGTTAGCCAACCCTTTTACGAGTTGTCAGCCAAGTTTGTCAATTGAGTTAATTTGGGCCTTCGCTTTATGCATTCCAAATGCGCTCTTTCGTGGCTTATCCTTAGCACCCACTTTTCGTCCTTTTTGCGTCCCGAGGACATCAAAGGACAGCTGCTGGTCGCCAGACAGGTGAAAATGAATATGTACCGCGACTCCTCGCATGGAACTTGATCAAAGGACACGCGGGCAACAAACTTTTTGGGCTCACTTTAAAAAATCAGCCCAAAAGGTGAGAAGCATTCGAAGAATGCGTAATGAAGCCACGATGACGTTTCAACTTTTGGCTCTGGCTAAAGGAAAACCGAAGCCCCAACATGGCAGGGGCAATATGTTTGGGGTTTTGCCGCGCTGACAGCTTTTAATAAAAGTTGCTCCCCTTTCTGGATTTTCATTTTGATTTTCCAGACAAGCGACGCTCCTGAAGGGGGACAAACCCTTTTTTTCCGGCTGCCTGACCAAGTTTTGACCTTCTTCATGTGACATATTTTTAAGTAAGTTGTCAAATTATTTTCACTGTTCTGCACAGCAGGCCAAATGAAATTATGTTTTTTTTACCCTTGCGGTTTTCTTCCGCATTCCTACGTTCTGTTTGCGCGGGAAATGGGGAAAAGTCAAATGCTGATGAGAAGAGGGGCTAATAAGGAAAACCTTTTTGTAATCGAAACCAAGAAAAGCAACAAAAAAAAGCGAGAAAAGAAGCGATAAAACGAAACAGAAAGACAACTCACCCCCGATGAAATGTGACTCCTGTGAAAGGAGAGATCAAACTAAAACAGCAGTGACTCCACCATTTGATCCCAATCAATCGGTTCTTTTCAGTTCTTTGTTTACACTTATCTTTTATGTAAGGGAAAATGTGAAAAAAACAGCAACTAATTACGACCTTTTCCCTTGTCTCTCGTTGCAGGTAATTCCATCAGACCATAATCTCCACCAAAATGATGCACAACTTCAGGCAAACGGCCAGGGTGAAGATTATCAGTACCAGGGTCCTGCTGGGCCGCTCGAATTCGTCATCGCACTCTCTATTTTCGGCCGACATTTTCCAGGTTTTTCAATCTATTCGGTTTTCAGTTACAGTTGCCACATTTGAGTTAAGCAGCACAGAGAGGGAGAGAGAGATTTTCACCACTCAAAGTGTGAAATGCGTTGCCAAATACAAATGCAGTGAAAGCCGGCAAACAAAAGATCCATTTGAATGCACATTTGCGCCAGCTGCATTTTCAAACGCCGCAAGCCGACATAGAAATTTTCACACGTCCTCTCTACAGACAGACCACCAAATTATGGGCTCCAAAACCCCCTTTTTCGCTAACCCACAATAAATACCTGTAAGCTTCTGTTTGGTCATTTGGCCAACATTGAAAAAGGGTGAACCAAGGTAAAAATGTATGGCCAACGCGGTTTTAGAGATGTTTAAACAGTAGTTTCTGTTGGTTTTTCAGTGCGCTTGAGCTCACCTGAGCTGATTTGAGCCGTGTTGAGCCCAAGTTGGCCTATACCATCCAGTTAAGACCCCCCTCCCTCGTCCATTTCGATTTTAGCCTTGCTGCTTGCTTAGTCTTTTTCGTGTTGATGTTAAGTGTTTTTCTTTCGGTTTTGTATGTCGTGTCGTGTTGCCTCAATTTGTGTTTGGCTAATGAAAATACCTCCGAGAAACAGACGGACAGAAAGACAGACAAGCCAGTAAACGATTTACGATATTCGGGGCCAGCCAGGCATTTTCACTTGCCCGTCGACGAGCATTCCACAGCAAATGACTTCATTGTGCCGGACTGAGTAGTAGTCGCAGTAGTAGTTGTTCAGCTATAAATTCGCAAGACCGCAAGACAATGGGCGCCCCGAGCTGGGATCTCCGCCACTGAATCTGGAATCTGTTGGCTGCTTTACAACGTTCGCTCATTCACTGCGACTGCGATGGAGATGATGATGATGATGATGCGTTCGTAATGGAATTCAATGCATTTAATGGAAATTTTCGCATTTACATAATCGATGGAGGGCAGGCACAGCAACAGTGGGAGCAAAAATAAAAAAAGAATGTAAGCTCGCACGCAAATTAAGCAGAGCTAGTGGTGCCCTAGTCTATAGGTCCGCAATCTCCAGTTCTATACTCGTAGTACCTGACCATGCCAACTCAATTTGCCTGCCCTCTCGACTGCGAATTTGCATTTTGCGGGGCATGTTCCTTGGGTTGTTTATGTGCCTTATGCGCTTAGATTGCGTCCGTGTGCAGGTCTTGATTTAAGATACTTGCTTAATGTGTAATTTAGTGCATTTAGATAAGTTCCATAGTGAATTTTTGATGTGTGTGGCTGCTGCTGCTGCCGCAGCTCTGCCGCCACCAATGGGCTCCACACATCAGCACATCGCAAAGGGAATTTAATGCATTGTCTTGCATTTCTGCATTTTGCATTCTGTGTCTGCTGCTGGAGCTGGTGCTGATAATGCTTTTGTTTATTTAACGGCGCTAAGTGCATTGGTTGCATTTGCATAAATCGCTCGGTGGTTGCACGTTGGAGAGTTGAAGGCGAGTGTAGAGGGTAGGGGCCACCGAATGGGTAGAGTGCAACCCGACGCATTAAACAATTTGTGGCATTTAACAGTCGTTACAATATTGATTAAAAGAATATGTGTTAACCCATTGGGAAGGTTCTCAAAGTTGAAACAGTGTAGCTTTAAACGAATAAGAGATTTTACAAAAGTTGAAATTTTGTTGTGGAACTATTTTGCATAATTATTAATGGCGCCCAAACAGTAATAACCTTCAGTTAAAAATTGGAATGGCTTTTAAGGTTTAAATAGTACAGTTTTAATGAAATTTATAATTTTTATAAAAGTTAAAACTTATTTTAAGCCTTAGTTGTTTAAAATTTTAATGGCGACCGAACAGGAGTAAGGTAAACTAACCTTCAGTTAACCGATATTAAAGTATATAGAGTATCCTAACAGGAATACATTTTCCCGAGCAAAAACCAGTCTTAGTAAATATATTTTTGGGTATGGTATATTTAAAAGCTTCGGTTTTCAAACTATATTTTCCTGTTGGGTTAAACAAGGGTTAAATCGCTGCCATCGATAGCCGGTTTCAGCAACAAGGGTATCAATGTTTTATGCGTCCGCCGCTCGGCATGTGTGAGCGTTAATCACAAAAGCCAATATGCAGCTGAAAGCCGTTTGTTAATGCGTTATGCATTGCCACACTCCACACAAAACCCCCTTCCTTCAGTCGCCGCCTTTTACCACCGCCTCTCACCCATTGTCATGGCATTAAATCCCGCAGAAAATTCCTTTCTGGCTGGCCAGGCTGTGATAAATTACACAACGGCACCAGCCGATGGACAGAGACTCGCATTTAATAAATAAAAATTCCATTATGGACACTCAATGCCAGCCTCAAGCTCAATCAAATAACAAAGGAACTCTCGCTGTGTTGAGTGTGTGTTGGTTGTGTTGGTTGTGCTGGTTGTGTGTTATAAATGACGTTGCACCTCCTGGTGCCAAGTGGGTTTCTGGGGGGACTACAAAACTTCGTTTACGATCCAGGGACAAGCTTGTCAATTGCCGAAACGACTTTACATATATATATATATTTGGCAGGGGTGTACTGGCGCCACATTTTCCAACGCCCACAATGCCTCGACTTTATGTTGCATCATCGGGTAGCATGCAACAATTGTGCCTATGCGAGCAACAAAAAAATCCTGTTTTTGTTAGCCTTCTGCTGGTGTTGTTGCTGTGCTGTTGCTGTTGCTGCTGTGTTGTTGCTGCTGCTGCTGTGCCGCCGCAACACGCTGTAATTAACCCGTTTGTCATGCAAATAAATCAAAAGTAACATCCCTCATTCCCGCCGGCCAAATGGCAAATGGTGCCAGGCAAAAATGTGTTAAATGCAATACCAACTGCATTTTGAGTGCACTTTCCGTGTTTTACGAGAGCAATGAGTTCGCCATGCTGGCAGGCAAAAATCTCATTTGCAACCACTTGATAATGGAATGTGAGATTTTTCCATTTTTCAAAAGATTCCGTTTTGAATTTTCCCCGACGGCGATCAAAAGTTTCGCGGTTGGCAAGTAACCAAAAATTTGCACACACCCTAAAAACGCGAAAGAGTCGGAAAAAATTAATTGCAACAGAATGCGTTAAATTCCGTATTGCATTTATCAAGTGGAAAATGGATTGGCAGGGGGTATGGCTGAGGGGTATTTTTCAGATTTTCTCGATCCGAATCCGTGTGCACAATCCGTCCGTCGATCGAGTGCAATTTAATGCCTCAATTTTCACCAACAATTTTCTGCGGCTGCCAATTGCTACGTGCGTTCCCCAAAAATAGCCGTGTTTGTTGTATGTTTTTCTTTTACTTTGTATTCGAATTGTTTGGCTTTCGTTTTCGTTGTTTTTTTTTTTTTTTGGTTTCGGCTCGCATTTTGGCTTCCTTCGTGCTTTTTTTTTTGGGGCCAAAGACAAGTTCCGCGTGCGCCAATTTTGGCCTAAATGGCAATGAACTTGAACGCCGTCGCGTGGAAGTTTGTTGGCGCCCTGCGATTTGATTTTGATTTTGCTTTTCAGTTTTTTGGTTTTTTGGTTTTCGTGCCCCTTGTTTTCTTTTTCTGTCGCTTTTATATCTTCTTGTGTTTATCTTTTGTCGTTTAGCGTTCGTTTTTTGGTCACGCGATGCCGTCAGGCGTATCAATTAGCCCCGAAAAAAAATGTGTTATTAAAGGTAAGAGTGAGTGACGGGTGGGGCCTATAAATGGGCTGAATTGCTTGTTATTTGACTGACAATAAATTTACATTCATTTCCCTTTGAAACGGGTCAGAACTGAGGGCTTATTTCCAAGGCAATCAAACGCATTTTTCCCAAAACCTGATAAATCCACATCACTTTTGCAGTACAGTAATGCACAGTTCTCACCTAATAAAACTGACGAAGACATTTTTGCTCATGCTGACAGCATAAAACAACCAAAAATGGAAAAATGTTGGCAAAATGTTTGCAAAAACAAAAAAAAGGGAAGAAAAGAGGTGATGTATGAAGATGGGCGTTGGGTTGTTTGCGTTGGAAATGGGGGCGTGACAGCATGAAGTGTAGCGTAATAAAATGCACACAATTTACGCAATTTACGTAAAGCTAAAAAACATAACAGGCAAACAAGGACAATAAAGGGAGATGGGTGTAAGGGGGGGAGTAATGGTATAAGTAATGTGGGGGGAGGGGGTTTTTGGAAAAGTCGAAGGACGAAGAGCAAAGGCACTTAGCTCACACACACACACACACACACGAGTCTAGTGATGATGGCGGCACTAAATACAGTTGGTGTTGCTGCTGGCATCCTCATGTTGCCGCCGTGCTGCTGATGTTGCTGCTGTGCGTTCGCTCAATTCCTTTGCCGCAGCAGCAACTCCTTGTTGTTCAAACAGTTTTCAACGCGTTTTTCGCATTTTAACAGCCGCCATTTTGTTGGCATTTGTTTTTTTTGCTGCATTTGCCGGCTTTACGCTGTCATTGTCATGGTTTTTGTTGCTGCTGTTGTTTTCCCGCTGAAATGTTTCTCTATTTGCCAGCGAGTTTTGTTTTTTCCCCCCGAATTTTTTGGGTTCCTTTTTTTTTGTAGTCCTTTGGTGGTTCTTTTTTTGTACATTTTCTTTTAGCCAGCATGTTTCGAAATTCAATTTTCGTCAAGTTGGCAACAGGCACATGAAGACAGCCAGTTGATGTGGGTGGGCCAGGAGTTGCTGTTGCTGTTGCTGCTGTTGCTGCCTCCTCCACTTGTGACAAGAGCAACATTTGTCTATGTCGAGCTGCGACGACATGCAATAACTTTAACTGATTTTTCACACAGACACACACACACACACGGCGCTGCCTGTAGAGTATTTATAATTCTATTTATGTTTCAATATAGGAAGTCCTCTGAAAGAGCCTGGGAAACTGGCAAACTGGCCACACACGACGGAGCCGAGCAGCCACTCAAAAAAGTTCACCCGTCAGGCTTAATGATAAAGTGAAAGTTTTTTCAGGCTCCGAGGCCCTTGCTTTTCTTGCCATCTTGTTGCACATTGGCTTTGCATGCGACACAGGGGACCAAAAAGGAGCAGGCAGGACCAAGGACCAAGGCTGGCTGGTCTGGCATGAAATCAAGTTGACTTTTCATTAACAGCTCAACAATGCCTTGGGTTTTCGGTTTGCTTTGGCTTGGCTTGGCAAGCCAAGTTAAGTTGTTTTTACTGCCTGTCATAGCGGTACTTAAAAAGCCCACCATCGCACACACATGCCCATGCGGGCTCCCACAAAAGTTGGCCCGCATTAAGCCCCACATCCCCCATAAGTTCCCCCTGCAACAACAACAGCAATTAATGCGATTTGTTCAACGTTTTCCATGTTAACTACTTAAAAGAAAACACAATTTTCGTTGCCAAGAAAAAAAGACAGCATAAAAAGAAAATATTTTTCACGCGGTTTAGGCGTTCTTACCCAAGCGATGAAGGAGCCCAAAACATTTATTATTATAATAATAAATTGCTGCAAATGATGATTGACATTGAATACGTGTATGTGCCACCCGAGTGTGGCTGTAATTTTGTGATGTTCATCAGCAATAAAAATGACAGAAAATTGCGCATACGCAACGTTGCACGTTAACACAGTGGCGATTAAAAGGCGCTCGGCCCGTTTTTACGACCATCAACCACCCCCAATGTCACACAAGATGATCTGAACAGCTCTGGTGCTTCATAAAAATCCCCATTTGACGTGACCGGGGTGA